TGCCACGATAATACAGCGCTCGCGATAAGACGGCCTTGGAGTATATATTTTCCGAGTAACATTGTCCACAATCTTTACATTAAGTTTTCAAAAACTACCGTTCATCTTGGCAATACTGAATTTAGCCTCTGCATTCCAAAATTTAACAATAATTTGTTTTGTAACAACAATTTTCCCTTGCATCCCAAGTATTCCGAGAACTCTCGCATCATAACCTGTAAAATTCTAAACCATTTTTGTAAGCCTTAATTTGAGCTACTGAATTTTCAGTGAACAAATTCTCATAGACATCGCTTATGATGAAAATATTATTATTCATTATTAATGAGTATAAATTTTGTTACTCATCTGAACCATTAAATTTTATCCGAACAGAACCAACAAATTTGCAAGTGAAACTGACAAGCTTTTTATTCATAACTATTTTAAATAAAGTATGTAATATAATCTGAACAACTTTATTGTTTAAACGTCGATACGGTATATATTAAGAAGATTCTGGACAAGTTCGGGCACATGAGTGCAAATGTAGCTGTCGACGTAAAGATAGACCAATTCCCGTCATGAAATCAATGCTGCATAATGATGAGAAAATAACAGAAAATTGAGTTGCGGGAACAGAATGTTTAAAACTGGTGTAGATGAAATTTTAAACTTTCACAATTTTGCTGTTATTGTTGTTGTTCTGGGGCTTATCGCCATTTTTCAGCACACGATAGGCTATTCATGGCGGCCAGTATTAATGGTGGAGGAAGAAACCGGGAAATCCGCAAAAAGAACTACCGACACACGAGAAGCTACTGGCAAGCTTTCTCACATATCCACATTCGCCGAATCTTAGACTCAAACCCACGCAGAGGTGAGATGGCAGTGATCCGTTACGGCGAGCGCTTTAGACCACTCGGGTCCCGATCGCTCGTTGACAATAGAGTTAAAAATTATAAGTCAATGAAAGAAATGTCTTAAACATTTCATGTTATGTATATGTAACAGAACTAGTGTCAGCTTTGGAGTAAAAAAAAAAAAACCTTTTTTATTATTCATTTATGGCGTTAAAAATTAATTGGTTTTTAGCTAATGTAGTACGTTACTTTAGACATGTGAAAAAGTTTCCATGATTTTCTAAACGTTGGTCACGTGACCCCATCCGGGAAATTCTTTTGCGTCCTAATTTACTGTATAGTAGTTATCTTAAGAAGAAATATACATTTGTGCTTTATACCGTTGAAACTCTAAAGGTGTTTTGTTGTAAACAGTTTGAGTTGAGTTATTTTTATTTTTCGGAATTAGTAATTCATTTCTCTGGAACATATACATGTAAGTGCTCCTCATCAGAATTCTTGGAGAAAAGACATTATTAAAATTATTCATAATTCAAAAACTGAAATATTTTTTTGTGATTCAACAAGAAACTGTTGACACGACAACACTGTGAAGGTTATGGCATACGTCATCGCCTTCCATCTTGGAATATCATTGGGATTCGGACTGTGATTCAATTAGGACTTTTGTTTGATAGAGCTTATATTTCTTAATTCTTAAATTAAATTTGAATTAGATTCGTAAACTATAAGTCCTTTTTCTCATTTTTATCTTTTTTTTCAAGGGAAATAAATTATTTTTTTTTTAATTTTACAAAACTCTTTGGCATCACTCTTTTGTACGAGCCCAAACACGAAACAATACATACTTGAATGCTTTTCTTTTTCTAAATCGGCAGTAAGATACAAGCTGCTGGAAATACGTTAAAAGTACAGTACATCGATTAAAAACAACTCTTGGCAAAGTTACATTGAACATACAATTCTTGATATTGTGTATACCTCCAATTAATAACTGTTTTCATAAGAAAATGAAGATACTTTATTTTCTTGTTAACATATTTTTTTTTTGCGCTGGCTGATGCGTGAACATTCTTGCAAGATTCATGTGAGAAACCAGTTGTAAAATTGTTAATATGTGAAACCTGCTTTTTTGGTATTTGGAATTCATTTTTTTAGCATTTCATCATGGTGCCTCCTAGTTGACTGCATAAATATATACTAGAGGTTGTATATTCTTGTCACATTTTAAGATCAGTTCACCCCGATAAGAAAGAGAGAGAGAGAGAGAGAGAGAGGGAGATAGATGGATCGGATATTAGTAGCTGCTTTTTTTAAAAATTCATCAGATATGAATTTTCTTGAATTATGTGTGGACGTTATTGTTGTTGTTGTTACTACTACTATTACTACTACTACTACTATTATTACTGTTATTATTATTATTATTATTATTATTATTATTATTATTATTATTATTATTATTATTATTATTATTATTATTATTATTATTATTATTATTATTGCTACTGTTATACCTAAAAGTTATATAAAGTCTCCATAGGACGTGGTTTACCAGGGCTTGTTCACATTAAATATGGATGCACGTACAAAGACTTTTAATGATTTAATAAAATAAATTTTTAATTTTGATAAATGATAACGTTTTTGAACTTTTTACCTTGTGCAAATGACACTAATTTAATTTGAATTAAAACAGAGATAGCATGACTACTACTCAAAATTTCTTGATCAAATTTGACCAGATTGACAGAGATAATACTGGGTAATTATTATATGTGCAGGTAAGAGATTTCAAGCCTACTCATTTTACTGATATCAGTATTATTGGTAATATTAATTGTGGTATTATCTGACTATACTTTCCAGTTTGTTTGTATCCCCTGCCGATTTAAAAAAGGAAAAGTATAAATTAGACCAGAAATGCACATAACTTACTCAGTTCATTCATTGATTTACTATTTCTAACCTGACTGTGACCAGGGAGACCCTATCACCGTCGTGCTTGTTTCATGCTTAACAGACGTTTTAAATATAAACGACGGCCATGCTCGAGATCCATTTCTAGATCCTGGATAAATTTATTTTCAACGAAAGGGTATATTCACGACTACATGTGTATGTACATAAAATGAAAATACTATTTCGTGTACTTCCGATATTTACAATGTCGAATCAAGCAAAGGAAACAATTGACAATTACAAATTTGTATTTCACGTGTATAGAACAAGCGGTGTAATTTTTATGTGCAAGTGTGCAAAGGATATAACTATAAACTCTCAACATTATGATAATTATAGGAATTATCCGGCAGTTAGCGAACAGGATGAATTACGTCATAATGTTGTCTGAGGAAATCAACTTGTCCAAAGTGTATGTAACATGGTGCCGTGTTAGGATGGAGTCTGTTAAACATGAAATAGGTAGAGAATGCCAGTGTGAGGGCCACTCTGGTCACTTTCAGGTTAGAAATTATAAATCAATGAATGAATCGACTAAGTTCTGTGCATTGTTATTCACCTTAAAGATTACCGTTATTGAAATTGGTAGCGAATACTAAAAGCCGGGAGGTATAGTTAGACTATAGTACCATCAGACCAATGGAACTTGGTTATCACAATTCTTGATTTGCTATATGGGGCGAGTGTTCTAAAACGAACGCCTACAGACTATATGGCATTTCAGTTAATTGTACTTTGAATTTTTTGACAATAAAATGCTATAAATATTCTTACATAGCTAAGTGCTGGAGTATAAAAATGGGTTTGCTTGTTGCAGTTCATGTCAATTGATGGATATAAGAAGAAAAGCCAACAACCAGATTATACTCAGTCCATATATGTATTTTTCATTATCTCGTACGCATATTAATTTCCATGTTATCTGGGTTTTTTTCGCGCGCTAATCTCCGTACCATATGATGTGGAGGTTGTGTCGAGGCGCACAATCAAATCCAAAAGCTCTTTTTCATCTCCTGCTAAACCATAAATAGCATCTGCAAAGCGAAGGTGGGTGTTTGTTCTTCGTCTGATACTGACAGTGCCCTTTAGTCATGCAAGGCATCCTCCAAGATCCATTCCAGGAAAATGTTGAAGAGTGTAGGTGACAGTATTCTCCCTGTCTGACTCCAACTGTTGTTCGAAACCAATATCCTCTGTTGCCATTGATGGAGACATCACTGGTGGCTTTTGTCATACAGGTGCTCAACATCCTGAACCAGGTTTAAGCTGATGTACATTCTCACAGTTGCCCATAAGGCTGCGTGCCATACCGTATCAAAGGCTTTTTTGAAATCTATAAAGACGAGGTATATATTCTTATGATGCTGAAGGTATTGATCGCAAAGGAGTCTGAGATTGAAGATTTGTTATGTGGTTCTCTTTTCTACTAGGAATATTGCCAGCTCTTCAACAGTAATTTTCTCTAATTGAGGCTTTAGTCTGTTGATAAATAGCTTCAGCATTACTTTGCTAGGGTGACTGATCAAACAGATGGTTCTGTAGTTTTGGCTGTAGCTGTAGGTTTCTTTCTGGGGAGAGTGATGACGAAGAATTGAGTTCATGTGGTGTGCCATTATCCTGTCTGCCTTATTTTGTTGCAGTTTTGTTGCAGAGTTTTGTTAGGACTGTGACTATATCTTCTCCATATGAAGATATAGGGACCATGATATATTATTGGCAACGTCTTGCCTCCACTTAAAAATGATCAAAGAACATTACATCATACTCATGTTTGAAAACAAAGGAAAATCGAGCATTTTGAGTGTTGTTCGCAAAACGAAATTAAGTGATAATGAAATTTGGGTGCAGCACTGTTGGCGAACTCTGACTGCAAGCTTACCAAAGCCACACCACAGCTCAAGCTTGAATGCAGAAATGAACAAAATAAAGAAGCAATCAAAATCATTTATAAAAATATGATAATCTCTGAATTTGGTCCGATAAGACCACTCTGTGATGTTTATACAGAGTTAAATTATTTCATACTTCGTCATTTCATTTTATACCACGTCACTTGGAATCTGAATTCATCATTCTATTTCGTTTTTTAAATCATTTTATTACATACCAGGTCATTTGGAATCTGAAGTCATTATATTTTTGTGTTAAATCATTTTATTTCATACTAGTTCATTTGGAATCTGCAGTCGTAATTATGACCGCTCCGGTGGAATAGTGGTTAGAACGTCCACCTCGGATGCGGGAGGTTGTGGGTTCAATCCCCGGCCGAGTCAAGTCAAAGACTTACAAAATGGTACCAATAGCTGCCATGTAAGGCGCTCAACATTAAGAGGTTAGTGTTAGGACTGGTCAGCCTGGTGTTAGCATAATGTGACTGGTGGGACATCATGCTACATGTGTGCGGTATGATACCCCAGTGCTAAACATCTCTAAAAACTGTCACACTGCAAACATCGTAGCTACGTTAAAATCCAAATAACACACACACACACACACACACACACACACACACACACACACACGTTGTTATTATAATTGTTTGGTTAAAACATTTCATTTCAATTTACATCATTTGGAATATGATTTCATCATATTCGTTTGGGTTAAATCTTTTCTTTTCACACAAAGACATTTGGAATGTTATGTATATTTAATCAAATTTGTTGTTAGTTTTATTTTTTTATATTCCATTGCATGCTGTTGTAATGTAACATTGAGTTCAGTTTTGTTTGACCTGACTGATGATTTGTTAAACAAATTTTCACTGACGTAAACAACTAACATTGTGTCTAGCTTCTGACCTTTTTCATATTCAGTGATAGTTTTAGAAAACAACTTTTTTCATTTTTTAAAAATATTTCTCAGAGTAAGAATTTTTAAGTTGAATCAATGTCATACCTGGACAATGGGATAATCAGCATAGCAAACTTCTATTTTTCCAAACCCACATACGGGAATCTGTTTTGCATCTTCATTAGCGTATAAATTGTTTTTGATAGAGGGTTGTTAGTTGGGCTTCAAACAATTGACGATACGTTATTTTTTATTGTGACCGGTTTTGGTTGAATTTTTATCTTTTTTCAAATTATTGACTTCAAGTGATTCTTTTCCCTGGAAATACATAAGTGCTTTCTCAAAATTCTTGGATTAATACATTACTAGAAGTTATGATGAATTCAAAACAAACTGAAATAATATTTTCTGTGATTCAACAAATGATTGTTGATATAATAGCACTTCGCTGATCACAATAGACGCCATCGCCTTCCATTTTGGATTTCATCTGGACTCGAACTCGGTTTCATTCACAACTTTTTAAACGTAGGACTTATGTTGTTTAATTCTTTGATTATTTTTGGATTTAATTCGTAAAACTGTAAGATGTTTTCTTAATTTGTTTTCATGTATTTTAGAGAAATAAATTATTTGTTAAATTATAAAAAGCTTGTTGTCTGTACTCTTTTCTGTTACTTATTTTAAGAGCATGGAGTCGTAACAGAAATCTGAAGTCATCATTATATTTGTTGAGTTCAATCATTTAATTTCATATCAGGTCCTTTGGAATCTGCAGTCTTCATTATATTTGGTTGGTTAAATCATTTCATTTGATTTCACTTCATTTGATTAATGTATTTTTGGCGGTGATGGCGGCCGGTAATAACGTTTGGTGTTGGAGATCCTATTTTTTTTAATTTATTTCTTGACGAGATTGAATATTGCAAAGGTTGTATAAAGATTATCTTTTATCTACTTATAAAAAAAGTTGATATTCTCTCTTTAGCGACGTTTGTATTAATGAAATATTGCATTTCATGATTACAATCAAACAGTCATTTGTATTGTCGATGAAGTTCTCACTTCAATAACCATTTGTAAGTTAGAAAGCTTTTTTTCTGTAATGATTTCAATAATTCATGCATGTGAAAACAAAAGTTTAATGGGGATTATTTTTCGTCTCATCTATTGCTTTACAAGACAGGGACGTTTTCAAACATATCAGGCCTACTGGAACTATGGGACAAAGCTCATTATCAACAAAAAGAAGATATATGTGGGAGATCTTTAACCCCTGTTATGAAATTCAGAATCCGACAAAGGTAATTTTGTGTTCATCTTTCTATCTTTCTGCTGATCTGCCTGCCTAGCTGCCTACCTAACTGCCTACCTAACTACCTACCTACTTACCTACCTACCTACCTACATACCTACATACATACATACATACATACATACATACATACATACATACATACATACATACATACATACATACATACATACATACATACATACATACATACATGAACGCACGTGTATGCACGCACACACGCACACACACATACATAACTATCCACATATCTTGAATGAGGTCGGAATCATTGGTTTTTAGGTTAATGGCCATGGCCAATGTTATAGACAGGGCTACGGTATAAAATAACGATAAACTCAATTGTGTCATTTTCTCTCTTTTACAGCAAAGAGACATACTTGTTCAATAGCATGTCTGGTCCCATTCTTTCATAGGTGAATCTTACCAGTTATAAAATCATATCTTTAAGAACTGGTGGATATGGTGCCTAAAAAAGTATGATTTTAAGATATTGGCATACATGGTAGATCTCGTCAAATTTTTTTACAGCTTGACCCATATGTTGTGATGGCCAATTCAATATTTACAGCAACCCCTCTCTCTCTCTCTCTCTCTCTCTCTCTCTCTCTCTCTCTCTCTCTCTCTCTCTCTCTCTCTCTCTCTCTCTCTCTCTCTCTCTCTCTCTCTCTCTCTCTCTCTCTCTTCTAACAAACTAAGATATACGATTCAAGCAGTGAAATACATCAGCTTAAAATATACAGTAAGAGCAGTCAATCCAGTACACTCTGGAGCTCAAAGATCGTAAAAATCCCATTTAGAGTAATTTCAGCTTTTTTGGAATCGTTTGGAAATATTTTCATTGTATACAAATTTTTGACTAGTAACGTACGGTAACTAGACCAGTCTAATCAATTTTACGCAATGGAGGATTGAGCTAAAATTAATTTGAAACAGTAAGATCATTTATGTTACACGTTGTACACGTGGATGTATTCCATCATTGTGGATTTTCTTGTATAATGTCGTAATCGTGGTGTAGAAATGCCAAGACCTGCTTTTCGAAAATATTACTTTGTGAATCGAATGCATTGATGTGGGGTTGTTGATAAAACGTCAATACAATTTATAGAATATAAAATGTTCACCAGGTGTTTGTACTTCGTTTAAATGACTGACAAAGAACATTGTTAGATATTTCTACTATGCTGAAAGTTCAGTTGCTTACACAATTATCAATCAATTAGAGAACACATTACACGAGCTATTTATGTAGAACAACAAGAAAAGAAAGAAAAGGAACAATATACATGAAACGAAATTGGTTAATGCTTAACTGAACAGCCTCCTGGTGCACATACAGTATTGCACTAAGTGCAAAAGATTTCCTGCATTCCGACCCATGTTGATCACGTGGTCGACCAGATAAGGGAATTTATTTTTCACGTGCAAACATGTGAAAAAGATAACAATAGATAAAAGTGCATTTTGACAGTAATATTTGTTTTCTATAAAGAAAAGAGCTTGGCAGAGAGAACGAAAGCAAACAACGTGCAATATATTTGTGGAGAATTCTTTAAAGAATGAAAACCTGGAAAGATACAGTGTTATCAGACAAACGAATTCTGAAAAAGGATATTTAGTGATTTCCTAGAAAAGGACATCACTGAATACTTGTTACATAGACATGATACCACACATGAAAGGAAAGTTTAATAGAACTCTATAGACTAGAATGGGGCAGCAGTTTTACACAAAATAAAGTCAGAAACAGGTTTTCACTTTTCGTAAGCTGACTGATGGTAATAGTACTATATTTGTCATAATACGTAGATATGAACCCTGTTGAAGCAAGTTAGGTAAGTAAAACAGATAAAAGGATGGATGAACCTACTTCCCTACCTGACAACTGTTTATATTTGGAGCGTCTTAATTCAAAATTAATGAGACAGACAGATTGTAGACATGGAAAGCAACATTTGAAAGGGCAAACTTTCTAATTATAAATCAGCAAAGAACGCTAAAAATCATGCGAGTATTTCTTAGAAATTTGTTCATTTACAGACTATAAAAGTTGATGACAGTAGTTGTAATGGAATTGTTTTATGAACACATGTTATTTGCATAAGACAAACAAGATGTCCTATACAAAGTTGATGAGATTATGTAGACAACGGGATGAACAGTGCAGGTGTGCACTCGTTAAATGAAAATGACGCGATTAGGAATATTGTTTAATTAATATAAATTCGAAAGAAGAGAAGATAAATAACAAATATTTCCCTTTCATGAAGAATTAATAAATTGAGGGTTTTTTTAAAAAAAAATAAGAAGATGCGTTTCTGAAAGGTGGCAACTGTAGAAAAAGCCTTGCAATTGCAAATGAAAAGAACTTGCATGATATGCAAATATGTGTCAATTACAAAATAAAGGAAAGAAAAAAGTTCATCCAAAAAAATCACCATTACGTAATGAAAAGAAGAACAGAATAAATGTGATAAGACTCTGTAATCTAAATAGTTTCCTAACGTGGCAGTAAAATGCACTAAAAACAAAGGAAAATCTGTTCCAACCATACACCAAAATGCTATTTAAAAAACTATATAATTTGCCACAAGCTAGGCAACGATAAAGGTAACACAAATTATATAAATGTTGATGCAGTTATGGAGATTTAAAACTTCCTTCTAATTGTATGCAAAAGGTATCCATGGACACCATCAACTATGTATTATTTCTGCACGAGATTTTAACAGTGCGTAATTTTTATACATCTATAAAACTTTCTGGCACAACAACCACAAAAAGCAAGTTAAATGGATGGCGATGAACACATTAAAAGGATAGTGGATCCAGCGCAAGACACTAAAAGAGGACATATGTTGGTTTACAGACGAGGATGATACCGGTTGCATATTATAAGTGGATTTAGAGATTTCATTCAATTTACAAAAAAAAATGATTGTTATTAATTGCAAAGGATGTCGAATAAATACAAAAGTAGAAAACCCACTGTTGCAAAACTGTTATGTACATCTTAAAACGAAGAGAAAAGTGTCGTTCGCTGTATAAACTTGTAGCTTTTCATACAACTAGGTTAAAAAAAACATAAAAAAGAACATATACTATCGTGCATGGTAGTAAACCGTAGTTTAAATCCTACATCAAACTAGATACAAATTTTAG